GTAGGGCTATAGGGCTATTGGGCTATAGGGCACCCCCGGGCACCCCCAGGCACCCCCAGGCACCCCCAGGCACGCCCGGGCACCCGGGCACCCGGGCACCCGCGGGCACCCCCGGGCACCCAGGCACCCGGGCGTGCCGCGAAAATCGGCGGCAAACCTAACCTGACCTTATGAATATTGAGCTATAGGGCTATAGAGCTATTGGTCAATAGAGTTGTAGGGCTATAGGGCTATTGGGCTATAGGGCTATAGGGCACCCCCGGGCACCCCCAGGCACCCCCGGGCACGCCCGGGCACCCGGGCACCAGGGCACCCGGGCACCAGGGCACCCCCAGGCACGCCCGGGCACCCGCGGGCACCCGGGCACCCCCGGGCACCCCTGGGCACCCAGGCACCCCCAGGCACCCGGGCAACCGGGCGAGCCTAACCAAATGAATGCGCTAGGACCCCTACAGAGGCAAGCTCTGATCGGGGAATATTCGTCGACCTTATTGATGGATTGGGGCCCCACCCATAGTGGAAAATAATTATTTATCCGCGGCACCCGCCGCACAACAACGACGACGACGACGACGACGACGACGACGATGAGATGAAGGAAGAGATTGTGAGCAACGGCTTCGGCGAAGAATGCGTCGATCTATATTGCAATCCTCTTACAAACGTGCTCGAAATTCCGATGTCCTGCAGGGCAGCCCAGGGAGCATCATTCCGTGTGAGAAAAACACATGATCCAGCCCGCCCAGAAATAGAGGGAAAATATTTCCGCAGCGACGACGACGACGATTACGACTAAGACGACTGTTACGACTACGATTACGATTATAACCACGACCACGATTACAACTATGCATATGATGCATCTGCTCTGAACAAGGTCCCGCTGCTCAAGGAGGCTATGCGGTCCGCGGCCGCCCACTTAGATAGGCCCGCGCACATGGTCGCAGGTACGTTGACCACGGAGGACCGGCTGGGCACGACGATGCGATTGTTGAGGGTTTCGGAGCGGCAGTCCCCGAGCACGACCAGTTCGTGCATTTCCTGCTACCCCGCCCTGCGCACGATGGTCGACAACCCGTACGACTTCACCGCCCCGCCCCAGGCGCGGCTCAGTTTTGTCCTTCAGCACGCGCTCGACCTGGCGCGTGACCATGCGCTCGAAGAGCTCAACCAGATGCACGGCGAGTTAGCGGACCTACCACCGGAGCCGGCCGCGCAGCGCCGCCGGCGGGTCCATCGATTGATCCACCGCCTCGCTCCAGGCCGCAGCTGCGCGACCTTCGCGGTCTTGGACCAGCATGACCACGCGACCACCGACCCATCGGCAATGGCTTCCACCCTGCGAGACCATTGGTCGAAGGCATTCGCGGCCCAAGACGCCGACGCCGACTTGCGCGCGCGGTGGTTGCGCGAGGAGGCGGAGCACGTCCCACCAGAAGAGGCGAGGCACCGGCCCTTCGCCAAGCCTTCTTGGGAGCATTTCAAGAAAGCTCTCCATTTCTCAAAGAGTAGTGCCCCGGGCCCAGATGGCATTACATTCCGGGCTTGGCGCAAGCTTGGCGATTTAGGGACCGACGTCCTTTACGAGGCTTTCTGCGTCCTCACCGCCGACGCTACGCTGGAGACGCTTGACAGGGACTGGCACGCCTTCAACGCGAGCCTCCTGGTCCTCCTGCCGAAGAAGCCCTCCGGCGAGACAGAGGACGGCATCCTGGTTTACGAAGCGCCAGCACCAGGCCGCTCAACATCACAAATGCTGACAACCGGCTTATCTGCAGCGCTGTCCAGCTCTGCATTGAACCGCAGATTGCCCCGGGGATAGCGGGCGAGCAGCGGGGCTTCATCAACGGGCGCTCGATGCTCGCCAACGTCGTTGACGCGGAGGCCGCGGTGCTAGAGCACGCATTTGCTTCACCAGCGGCCGCCGCGGTGTTCTTCGATTTCGAGGTAGCCTTCCCGAGCGCCTCGCACAACTTCTTGCACGACTTCCTCGCAGCTAAAGGGTGGCCGTTTTGGATTCGCACGTTCGTGGCTGGATTATATTGGAATAATACCTGCAATATTTCTTTGGGCGGCCTTCAGCACGACGGGTTCACACTTTCTTCTGGGGTTCGCCAAGGTTGCCCCCTCTCCGCTTCTCTTCGCGGTTGTCTCGGACGTTCTCCTTCGGCGTATATTGCGACTGGCTCCGCTTGTCACGCTCCGGGCATACGCGGACGACATCGCCGTCGTGCTCCCGAACGCATTCACCGAGGCCAGCATTCTGGAGCGCACCTTCACCGAGTACCGCGCCATTTCCGGTTTGCGGCTGCACCACGGGAACACAGCGTGGGCCCCCCGCACGCTTCAAGACGAGATTGACGTTCGGAACGACCTCCACCGACAGGCACGCCTCTGGAGCGACCTTGCCATCCAACGGCACGCCACCTACCTTGGATTTTGCATGGGACCGGGCAGGGGAGATCGATCCTGGGCGAAAGCACTCGCCAAGTTTCAGGAGCGGGCCCAGCTGTGGCAGCAAGTCGGATGCGGCCCTTTCAACACCATCCTCGCTTACAGGATCTACATCGCCCCCGTCCTCTGCTTCCTCGCGCAGCTACTGAACCTTCCAAGCGATTGGGACGACATCGAGCGTAAGGTGTGCAAAACGCTCTTCAGGGGCCCCGGGGCATGGACCTCCCCGTGCATTCTCCGCAACCTCTGGCTGCTGGGCTTCCAGGCTGAGCTACCGAACTTGTTCGACATTGCTACTGCCGCGAAGTACCGGGTGGTCAGGTGGGAGAACGCGGGCCAGGGCGGCTTAGACATCGTGCGTCGCCACGGGGACCAACACCCTTACGAACCTGACGCGCGCGCACACCAGAGTGCAGCAGGCTGCCTGGAACAGGTCCCTCACTGTCTCCGCCGTGCTTCGTGGGAACTCGCCGCGCGACGTGGACCGGAAGAACTGGCAGAAGACGGTCGCGTTCCATTTTGGGACCGATGAGCGGGACTTGATTTATCGTGAGCTCCGCCGGCACATGGACCACTTCCCCCTACTCCTCCTCCCTGGACGCCGAGTTGATCGTGCAGTCAGGCCCTTGTGCGGCATTGCCCAAGATGTCCCTCCCAGGGTATTGTTTGCCACTTTCCGAGCGCCGTGCAACGGCTGAGCCACCAGAAGTCGTTTTGGAGATACTGGCGCCTGCATTGTCGGATGCGGTCACCACCAGGATTCCCTACGACATTACGCGACGTGCCCGGCATTCTTGGACTTCGCCCAGCGGAAGCTTGGTCTCCGACGGGCCACGCCCACTGACCGCCTCGACACCTTCCTGGCGCTCCACACCCCGCACAGTCAGCACACGGCCGCAGAGCTCGCGAAGCGAGCGTTACTCCTCTACGCCGCCCACTCGGCAAGTTGTGCCAGACGTCATGGGGGCACTGCCGACGCAGCAGAAGCACTCGATCAATACGTACGCGAGGCGGCCGCCGGTCACCATCGCCTCCGTCGGGTACTGGCTGCCACGTGGGCCCGGTAGCGCGCGGTTCCCGCAGTTTCAGTGTCCGCTGGCGACCCCAGTCCGACCAAAGTTCTTTCCGACCTACCGTAAGACTTCTTACAGTCGGAAATTAATTTTTTTTATATAAAAAAAAAAAAAAAAAAAAAAAAAAAAAAAAAAAAAAAAAAAAAAAAAAAAAAAAAAAAAAAAAAAAAAAAAAAAAAAAAAAAACGTGATGCGTCTCGCCCCCCGAGGGTGGACGCCGGCGTGTCGCCCTATTTGGGGGTGCCAGCCCGTCGAAGTAGCGAAGGCCCAGTCGGCTATGTCCCGGCCGAGTGGCCGATAGTTTGCGTGCACGGCAGTTCTTCCTCCTCCGCCTTGCTTTTTGTCCCTCTTCTGTCGGCGTCGTTGGTATTGTCCTCCTGTTTCTTCCTCTTGTGGATTGTGGTCGCTTTTTCTTCCCCCAGCTATGGCTGGGCAGCCATAAAGGATGCAAAAGGGGTATTATTTGACCTAAGATGTTATTGCGCGTTTGTGCCTGGCCGCCGTCTGTGACAGCGGATGACTTTCACGGGTGTTATGTGGTGCGTAGCTCCTCGCTGGCGATACGGTTTATATAGTACCGTGAGTTGTGAGTAAAACGTTTGTCCGTCGAGGCCAATCAATACTCTTCTGTCCAACAACAGCTTGGCAGGCCAGGGGCTGATACGTTGTTGGGCTAATTCGTATATTTCGCCTTCTGGTTTCACTTGTCTCCTCCTCCTCCTCATTATCATCATCATCCTCCTCCTCCTCTACAGTTAGCAGCAACGTAATCGTGGCATGGCCCGTTCCCGTCTTCCCTCACTTGTTTTCGGCAACGTTCGCAGGACAGGCATGCGACGCGCCGAGGACATGTTACTCAAGACCGGTTTTTCCTCGATGCCCATTTCTGGGTCGATCAGAGGGTTTAATTATGTATAAAAAATACAGTTACAATCACGGATACAGTGACGGCTACAATCACGAGCACAGCCACGACTACAAACACGACTACAACCACAACCATCGATTTCGATTGCAATCCTCATGGGAAAATGCTCGCAAATCCTCCTGCATGTAGGTAGCCCACAATGGAGTATTCCCTGGGAGAAGGAGCCCTCCTAACATTGTCCAGCCCGCCTAACAATACAGGAAAATCATCTTCGCCGCGACGACGACGACGACGACCACCGCCACCACGACGACAACAACAACAACGATAACGACCACGAGGAGGAGCAGGAGGAGGAAGAGCAGGATGAGGAGGAGGGTGGGAGGAGCATGAGGAGGAGCAGGAGGAGGAGGAGCAGGAGCAGGAGCAGGAGAAGGAGGAGGAGGGGCGAGTTTGGTCCCCGCCGAGGGAAACACGGGGGGGGGGGGGGGGGCAAAACTACTCATGCTCACCACGGAGAGGGCGGCTCTGCAGGAAAGGGGCCCCTGAGGGTTTTCGCCGTTTCGCGGCTCCCCGGGCCTTGCCTGGGGCTCCCGGGGACCGTCGAACGTTGGGGTCGTCGGGGAAGCCTTGGGGTCGTCCAGGGCCCGTTTCTGTCGGCGGTCCCGCGCCAGCCAGGGACGGCTGGGCCCTCGGGGGGCACGCCGCACACGCTCTGCTGCGACCCAGCAGGCAGCTCGCCCTGAGAGGGGCGGCAGTTCGGCGGCACGCTGGGGCCACGTCAGCGGAAGCCTGGGAGGAGGGGCGCACCAGCGCGAGCTGATCAACAGAGCGACGGGGAGAGTTCGCTGCGGCAGCATCAGACAGGGCACGCGAGCGAATGCCGCCGCGAAGCGCTGCTTCAGCGCAACAATCTTGCTGATCCCCCTCGCTTCGCGGGGTGCACGTCCAGAATGCAAAGAGTATGTGCGTCTGGGCCTTCTGGGGAGCTTTTTGGAGACATCTTGGGGCACCTCGGGGACACATGTTGGAGCCATCTTGGGCTGATCGGGGCCATCTTGGCCGTCTTGGAGGCATCCCACGCCGTCGTGGAGGCCATCTTGGAGGCCCAGCCGCCCCAAAAGGCCCCAGGTGTCCCGTCCTGGGGTCGCGACGGGTCTGCCGTCCACCCTTAAACGCACAATTTGGGACCTGGCAAAAGGGGAGACCCCAAAGGGGGTCGACGGATTTTCTCCGCTGCGCTGACGCAAGCCAGGCAGAAAAGAGGGCGAGCGCGGTTCTGCACGGATGCCTCTTCACTTTAAACGGAGAAGGTTAAAGGCGAGATATAAATCGAGCATGTACCGCTGCCGTGCCTGGCTCAAGCCGGGCCCGGCCAGATATGTGACTGTGCCTCACTGAGGCGCACTACTTGCATCCGAGATCGGAAAACATCTTTTTCCATTGACGATGCCCATCCTACTCTTTACTCCAGATCCCATGCTTCGTCTCGCTCTCTTGCTCATGCGCTATGAGCCTAAGCCTGGGATATGGAAGCGCCTAAGGCGGACTGTATACCTAAGCTTACCAGCTTGTTTTCGACTTGGTAGCGGAGCTGGCTACACTCTCGTGTGGCTGGCTCTCGCTCTGATTCCTGTAATCCACGGCACAACTTGGTGGACTACTACTACGGTGGAATACCATGTTGCGCCGGCTCTGCGAGGAGCGGAGCCAGTCCGCGATCGAGCTAGCGGGGCAACCCGCGAACTCGAGACGCTTTCTCCTACTTCACTGCGCTACTTCACTCCCGACTTCCACCAGATGCCAATCGGCAACTCGATCGAGAACGTGGTCACCCTGCGGGGCTACCCGCAGCGGGGCCACCTGCATCCCGTGCCAGTCAGGCGCCTCACGGCTACTACGCCAGAGCCTGACAAACCACAGCCTAAACCAATCACCGAAGCCGAAATGCACATGCATTGGATCAAGATAACTATATTCGGCATTCTGTGGGTAATAATGGGATGTGCTGTGGGATACATGCGGCAGGGGATGGACGACACGCGTACTACTGGCCCTTCATGGGACCCTGCCGGTACTACGCCTTTTCGCGAATACGTTCGCGAAGTACATGCATGGTTAAACGTAACGAGTGGCAATATGACACCACCACAACAAGCTGCAGCACTACAACGAGGCCTTCAAGGTCTGGCTCGTCGTATCGCCATGCAGGTCCCCTCCCAGATCATCAATTATGGTGTAACTGTCAATGGACAGCCAACGGATGCAGTAACCTACATACTGTACTTACTGAGCACCAAATTTGAAAATCTGGAAGATGAGCGCCAGCTCAACTCTGGCACTGCCCTTATCGACTTCCGCGTTGAAAGGGGCGAGCGAATCGACTCAGTATTAGCTCGATTCGAGATGGCCCGTGACGAGGCCAACTCTGTTGGCTTTGTCATCCCCAACTTTCAGATCCTAACGCTGATTCTTTTCAGAGCGTTAGGCGTTGGCGCGTCACGAGCCCAACACCTGCTCGAGCCCTTCAATCATCAGATGCCCCGAACACAAGCAGACTATGACAGGCTGCTGACCAGGATGAGGAACTACGGACATGTTGCCGAGCGCTCTCCTGGCAACATAGCGGGTATCTTCACAGGGCACCACTCACATGCAGGTGTCTACGCCACGACTGCGGGGTCACCCGCTGGTCCTGGCGAGCCAAATCCCTGGGCTGACCCAGCCGATATGCCCAACGAGGCCACTGCCCTTCTAGGGCAGACCGGCCAGGCATCGGCAGAGGCAGCTGAGGCGAACGCCTGGTCGAACTACTCGCCAGGCGCCGCCTACACTGCAAGCCCGCCCTCGGGCACAACCCTCTGGGGCCAAGCGGAGTCATCCGCCCAATGGTCTCAGCCACCCTCACCGTTTGAATCTGGCACTGACACAGATACCTCATCTGACGATGAGCACAATGGAATAGTCTCTGCTGGTAATGACTATCCAGCGGACGACACTCACCTTTCTGAACAGCAAAGGGCGGAAGCCGCCTTTATGGCTTATCGCAAATCAAAACGCCGTTGGAGGCGCTTTATGAAGAAACCAGTCAGAAAGGTGAGACGTGCAGTACGCCGACATTTCAAACAATTTGGAAAGGGTCGTGGTAAAGGGGGTCGCAGACGCCGTATGCATGGAAGGGGTATTACTGCTTTCCTCACGTCCTTAACTGATATGGCTTTTGAAGAAGTTCTTATCGGAGGCAAAGGTCGAGGTCACAGGCGGACCTCCGGTAAGGGGAAGGGACGGAGGGGCAACCCTAGGGACGCTTCTGGTAACACTATGAAGTGTCATACATGCGGTAGCACAGAGCATTTGCGCGATCAATGCCCGAAGGGGAAAGGAAAGGGATCCGTACATTTGGCTCAAAACTCTTTTATGGATGACATAGATTATATTGACTACGAGTTTTACGTCAATCCAGAAGCGGCTCCCGCTGCGGGCTCCTCCACGTATTACGTGATGGCCCGCTATGCTGAAGCAACTGTGGCCCTGGAAGACTACGCAGTGACCCTCTTCGACGAGTTCCACGGCTGGGACGAGGTCGATGAGATTGCGTACAATGCTTGGTTCGGTCTTCCAGCGGGGCCACCCGCCGGTGACGAGGTCTCCGAAGCCGAGACTGTCCCGGCAACAGAGGAAGAACTCACCGCCGCGCTGGCCCCACAAGTGATTGGCATGCCGTTGCTGCCAAATCCGTCGTGGGCTGGCTCGGAGATGGGAGACGCCGATGACGAAATGCGGGGCCATCCCGCGTATTCCGATTCCGAAGAATCCGAAGAAGATTACAACGACATGCTCCAAGAGCAGGTTTCAGAAGCAATCCGACTCTTGAGTGCGCCAGCACAGCAGCAGATGACGATGAACGAACTGCTGTCACACCCAGGAGTTGCACGTCTACGTCCATATTTGGATTCGAACATGTCAGCATCTCAGATGCTCACAGCACTCCAAGCTCTAGCGGGGTCACCCGCCGAGGAGATGCTAGACACAACAGCGGGGCCACCCGCTTGGTCTATGGATGTATTCATGCAAGGTTGCGATCAAATGAATATTAACGACCTCTCGATGGAGCAGTTAAATGACATCGGATACTTCAGGAGCCCGTATCAAAACGTGTTCATGGCCCAGGACAGCTCAGAGGACTCAGATGAAATGCGGTACGCCAAGAGGGACAGGCGACCGTCGCCTCCCCGAGACTCCGAGCAGGACGATCAAAGGCCAGTGACACATGGTAGTGTGTCGGCGGGGCCAGCCCGCGGAAGGAGCCGCTCTGCTCCTAGACGCCCTACGCACGACGAATCGGGCTACCCATATAGCACTGAGCACTCCGTTGGAGTATCTGCTCAGCAGGTGCCGGATTGGTACATTAAATGGTACCCCGGCTACTCTATGGAGACTCTTCGGCATTGGTATTCTAAGGAATACTGCACCAAAAGGGACGAGACTGGCGCAATAATCCGTACCAAGGGCGGCAAAACCAAGACGCCAGAGGCCTGGGACAAAAGGGCGAAGAAGCAGGAGATCATCACTGACCGCAAAACGTACAGAAAACAGGTGTGTCAGTGTGAGCCCTTTAAAGGCCACATGCGCAGGTGTCCGATGGACCGCCCTTCCAGGAGCCCTCACCACGGAGAGACCCCGTGGAATTGGTCTCATGGAGACGACGCTGGCAACGTCCATGACCCAAACAAGGAGGTTCCTGGAGGGGGGAAGCGCATCACTGAGGCCGATCGCGTCCCTATGACCGAAGAAGTGGCCAACACCGTCAGGGAGAATTGGGCAAAGCTCCCCAATGACCATCGCCTCAAGGAGTGGAACCGCCGATTCCACAAGGAGGCGGGGTCACCCGCAGAATCCAGTGGGGAAGCGGGGTCACCCGCAGAACCCAGTGGGGAAGCGGGGTCACCCGCAGAATCCAGTGGGGAAGCGGGGTCACCCGCAGAACCCAGTGGGGAAGCGGGGTCACCCGCAGAATCCAGTAAGGAAGCGGGGTCACCCGCAGAAGCACCACCAGCCGCTGGAACTGCGGAGGATGAATGGATAGATGTTGCCTCTGCCGCCGGCACTGACCGAACCGAACTAAATGAGGAATGGGCGGCAGAAGATGGCTCAGAAAATCCGTTCCCTGACGGAAGCGCCTGCTGGCACTACAGCTCTACGGCGCAAAAGTGGTTCTGCACGAGGGTACTCTACCGCCATGAGAATGGCAAATACAAGCTGGCCATAAAGGGTGTTGCCGACATCGACCAGATGAGGCAGGTTATCCATGATCATGGCCAGCCAGAAGGCCCTCCGAGAGACCCTCCTGGTCCACGACCAGGCAAGGGCAGCAGACCACCTCCAAGACCTAAAGCCGACTCCTCATCGTCACCGACTCCTGCAAAAAGGCACTCGTCCAAGAGTCCCGAAGACACGCAGGGGCGGGCGAAGGTCAGGGCGGTCGCCAAGACGGACGACCCTGAGCCGGCAGATCCTCCTGGTCCATCGGTGACAGAGAGGAAGAAGGTCTTTGCTGGACCATCGACCCCGATGCCTCCAGCGACCCAAGGCGATGTCAAGGATGAAGTTCGTGACAAGCCTAAAGCAGCTTTCCGAGGTGACTGGACTCCAACGCTGCATCAGCCACGCCTTACACCACAACCCGGCTCGGCACGAATGAAAGCGCAGCCGAAGCCCGAAGCCGGGATGAGGTCGGTGCGGGCAGAAGAGGCCGCCAAGGCCAAGGAGGACAAAGGATCTGCGGGGCCACCCGCTAAAGCGGCACCAGCCGCAACAGCGGGGACACCCGCAGGAAGTACTCTCTCAAGAGAAGAGCGTTTCAGAGTCCTCAAAGAGTTTGGCGACCAACAAAAGTTAACCGATGATGCAGCTACTGACAAAGGTCACCCGAACCCTGGCGCGGAGTCATCCGCAGGAGCTGCCTCGTCAGCCGCAGGCTCTGGCGGGCCACCCGCTAAAGCGGCGCCAGCCGCATTAGCGGGGCCACCCGCTAAAGCGGCGCCAGCTGCATTAGCTGGGCCAGCCGTTAAAGCGCCACCAGCGGCATTACCAACACTGTCCGCTCTGAGGACCATTCCCTTGGAATGTCTGTTGTATTGGCAGGGCATTGACGACAAGGGGCCGAGGCAGCCAATCAACCCACGAGTCACTCCAGACGACACGGACCGATATGAAGTCATCAACTGTCCGGTTCGTCGGAATTTCAAGTGCCAGAATGACTGGGAGCGCGAACAACAGAAAGTGGGAAACATGCTGCGAGACAGGCCGCCACTACGTGTTGCGCAGCATAGAGAATCGCTCCTGAAGGTCATGCAACAGAATGGCGCTGATCCGACCCTGCCGAGTAAGGAGCAGATGACCAAGATATCGATCTGGTTTTCGACGGCTCTGCGCCACAGTCCATATTATAAGGACAAACACAATCGATACT